GTAGTGTAATGGCAGTACGTCCGACCGGTAATCGGAAGGTCTGGGGTTCAATTCCTCAGTCGGGCAGTGGTCTTTTTCCGTTCTGTCGTGATATAACATCTCGCTGGGTGATTACGGGGCGTAACAGCATTTTTTGCTGTTTTCTTGTTAATTTCAGTAACTCTGACGCTCTAGGACCTCCCGTAAAGTAAATGAGGTTTGATGAAAACGTGTCGCAAAGAGCTCGTAGATGCCTCATTTCGCTCAGAAATGTTTGCCCTATACAACGACGGTGCTTACAAAAGTTTCTGTTTAAGTACTCGGCTTTCTCAAATTCTGGTTTTCTAGAGACCTTGCTTGTGCATGACACAAGTTTGAACACTCTTTCAGCCATTCAAGTCTTTTCTCAGATTTTCCTCTATCTATTACAGTAGAGAAGAAAAATCAAAAACAACTTGTCTTTATAATTATGAACAGGACTGCAAATGATTTGATTCTCTTTAATCGAAAAACTTACCACAATGTGGTTCATCTTGGAAAATAGAATATTGTGTAAATTGATTTTTACCACAAGAACAAACATATTTTAATGATGGTGATTCACGTAATTGACATGTCAATGGTATTGGACATAAATTATCATCAGCTTTTATGTTATTATTCGAATCCATACGTGTACATAAACCATATTCGAAATTATCGTTAATATAACTGGGATATTGTCTACCTATAATAGCAACCATAATTGTTATATTTTAATGATATATTTTTAGAAATATTAACAACAAAACAAATGTATGATTTTTACTGTACCACATGATGTGAATAAACCATAATGTGTCGAATTACGATTACATGTACATAATTTCATATCATTATCGTAAGATGCAAGAGTCGTTAAACACTTTTTATCTGTACCACCAAAGTAATGAACATCTGTATCTTGTGAATTTGGATATATTGTTGATCTTCTGTCTGGGTCTAAATAACAAAAATTATCATTATAATTTATTTTATATAATGGCAGATAATAAGAAATATGACATTTAAAGAGAATATATTTTCTGCTAAAAAGGGCTATCTTTTTATTTACTACTTAAGACATAAAAAATAATGAGATTTACAGATAAAGCTCCATAGAATAGAGATAATCAAGCTTTTACTTCATCAAGTATTTGAGCTAGTAGCCATGATTATCCACGCGCAATCAGATCGTTCCAAGATATTTGAGAAGGTTTTTTTCGAATCATCTTTGATTAAAAAATCAGTTATCTTGGTTACAGCATCCAATACAGCGTTTATACCGCTGTAATCGATTAAATTTTCTTGAACATGGCTGACTAATGAAATATGATGAATATATCAAGCGGTATTAGGTGATAAGTTCTACATCTGTCACACATAAATGGGTTGAAATTCCTCGAAGTAGACGGATTGCAAACGAAGAATCTGCACAGTAAAAGTTTGACGCAGTAAGTTAGCCTCAAAACGTTGTTTTATGTCTTTTCTTAAAACACATAGTCGAGTAATCTCGAAAAAGAGCAAATATGGATAGAGGGTAGACTGTTAATCGCCAGTATTATATGTATCATTACTAGGTTATATATTTTTATATATATCACCTTGTACATTATATGTATCACCTTGATAGATAGCGACCTTCAGTTTTGAAAACTAGACACCTGTTCCCGTATTTGTGTAACCAAAAGTGAATTTCAGAAAAATTTCTGAAGCTGGTTTTTCAGTAGATCTTTGGAAAACTAGCTTGGGCTTTCCGAAATTCATATAGGAATGTATTTATCTTTTTTCATGAGCTGATAGTCCGGGATATTTTCTTCAAAATGAGATTAAAGGAGACCTTGATTTTTTGCGGTTCGGGAGTTGTATCGGATTTCCGACGAGTATCAGTACTGGCACCCGGTGACTTTTGGTAGCCTTAAAGATGGATAGACTGTGGATAATCGACCCTGCAAGTCTCGTGGCAATATTGGTTTTTGGAAAAAGTTTTGAAAATCTACCGAAAAGCCAGTTTTACAAAAATTAGGATTTTCAGACTGTTTTATTCTAATATTAAAAAATTCACTATTCACTCAGAAAACATCAGAACAAGCTCCAAACCTCAGGATATGATTAACATTGTCCGCTAAACGTGATTATAAGATCGAAATAATCGAAAATATATTTTTGTTAATAGGTTTTACAGAAACCCTTT